CTCTTTCAGATCTTTGGCAAATCTTGGGCTAACCAAATTTAAAATCAGTTTTAACTGATTAATTTAAAAGATGTAAAGACATGTCAAAATACAATGGGAACAGATTTCTGGACATACAAATATTTCATCTTCAACACCCGTACTTGATTCATGATTTTTCCTCGTGATTTCTTACACCATTATGAAATTTGCTTTTGAAAAAGCACAGAAGTTTCTGCTTCTAAACTCTACAACACTACCATGTTTTAAACTTTAGGCCACAAAACTTTCTAGTTTGTTGAGTTTTTTAAAACTGCTTCATTAAGCAGTACGTGGTTTGATGAGGTCAGCATTCTTGTCCTTTGTCTGTAAAGCAGCTGGCACAATGAAGTCCTGGTCAATCAACAGATCTCCTGGTCATTACAGTCAACCTTAAATTCTCTGTAAACTAGAAGCCAAGCTAAAAAGGAAACTTGAACAGCTGAACAGGGTTCTCCCATCAAACACCTTTTGGCACCTGGTTCTTCCAATGCCATTGCCATGTCATTTATCTCAGGCTCCCATAAAATGACCACCATTGGAATCTAAGCATCATCACAGCACTGAAGCAGTTCAGTAGCACTGAGCACTACATGCAGAAGAAAACGCATTACACAAAGTTGTAGTGTGAGACAGTAATGCTTCCATTACCCCCAAGTAGAGCACCCACATGCAAACACTGCACTGCCATATGGAGTCAAAATAGGGAGCACCGACAACTGTAAACCAGAAGATGACATGTGGTAGGAGAAATCAGCAGAGAAGTCATCCAGGATAAAAGCAAGTATGTCTAAGCATGTGAAAGTGTGAAAGAGAAAGCTCTTCTTCCAGAAACTGCACACACTTAAAGGAAAAAGAACAAAAAAATTAAAAAAGAAATCAAGAGATGAGTCAGTCATCAGTAGCATGAGACAAACCTGAACAAAAACCAAGAGCAAAAACATGTAAATACCATTTGACACTTCTTATAAATCTGGATCTGATAATATGATGAATCACAAAAACTTCCACCTCCTTTTTATATTAGGATTCAAGAAGACTATACACATCTTCACAAAATGCATTCAGTTGCCCTATAACATACTTGGATTGAAATGAAAATTTGCACTTTGAATAAATTTTAAAAAACAGTATGAGAATATTCCCTCACATTTCTCCACAAAATTTCTTCTTTAAATTGTGACAAGTAAAGGGCACAGAGATTGGGCCTAGAAAAGCATTCTTCTCCTCACGATATTCTGTACACTTTACTCTATTTACACTGAAGCAAAAAAGCAGAAGTCTGAAGAAATTAAACGCTTTAGAGTGCTAAAATCAAAACATAAGCAATACAATTTTTTAATTTCAGTATTTTAAAGTACAGAAAGTGGAAACTATGAATATCAAATACAAATTTAAACAAAGCCACTTATCTTCCCCTAGAATAATCAATATGAACTACTTATAGAAACTTACAAATTTAAAGTAAAATCAAAACAAAATAAATACTGTACATACACTTTCCCTGCCTGCAGGCAAAAGAGGATGGGAAATACTGTTATGAATTGAAAAAAATGCTCTTAAAGCTGCAGCATCCCATTTCCCAGCCAAATACTTAACACAGTAGTGCGTTTCTGTAAAAAGGAAGACACACATACACCGATCCCTACTGAGCAGACAAGCTAATATTTTCAGAAACATTAAGAAGGAAAGATAGAAATTAGACTATGAGAGTAGAAAAAGGAGAGGAAAAGACAAATGGGCCAGCAAAACATTACTACAAAACTAGTAAATACAGCCAAGAACTAGCCCCTTTTTTTTTTTCAAATTCCATGTTTTTTAAAAAAAAAAAAAATTCACCCAAGCATTGGCAGCAATAGACATTTCCCAGCAGAAGTGACAATACATATCAATATAATCTCTTAAAGTGATTCCTTTCATTCCCTTCCCACAGCATGAAACTCTTATGGCTTAATTTATATTAAAAGTAGAAAAAGTCTTTTTTTTCCAAACAGAAATGCAGCCTACGAAGAATATGCATTTCCTTATCAGTGCTACTTTTATTTCCCATCCACTGCATGACTTATCACTCATAGGCTCCCACAAAGAGGGTTACCAGGGTTTTTTTTGTTGGGTTTATTTTTTGGGTAAATGGATGTTGCAGCTTTTAATCTTGTTTAACGACAAATAGTAAGGCCCTCGGTTCCATTTGTATTTCTTCTGTGAAAGAGTAGCTCTGGGATCACTCAACCCCAGAACTATAAACAGCTTTTAATGGTCTGGAAGTATTACGTGAATGACTCTCTGGAAAGACACAAGATTTGGGGTCATGGTGGGAGTATGAAGAGATAGGTGGGCATGTGGAGCCTAAATAGGGCACTAGTTACCGGGTCATTCTAGTTTCAGTTCTGCTTAGTCTCCACAACTACCAAAAAGGGGGTTGGCCAGATTCTCATCAGCTCTGGCTTTGAAATCCTGCAAAAATTTTAAACATTTACAACTTAATGGCCTTGTGAATGAAAGTAGCTTATGCCTTATAGCAAAGCCTAGGGAAAGCTGAAGCGTGGAAAATGTTATAATGACACTGTGTTCTCTTACATCTCTACCAAAGGTAACACAAGCACTTCAACCACCAAAAAAAATAAAAATCAAAACCCCCAAAGCCTCCCATGTGATCAGAAAACAACAGTTTTAACTCTCAACATCTAACCCTTTCAAAATTCTCTTGAAGAATGAATTAATGTAGAGTATTACAGGTTGCATAGGTAATCTACCTCAGAGGTCAACAAAGGCTACCCTGTAGCCAGGGTTTATTAGCAAGTATAGTAGGAGAAGAAAAGGGAAAGTTGCTGGAAGAGTCTTTGATATAGTTTCTAGGTGGTCTTTCCATTTTCATGTTTGTTTCTCTTTTTTTCCATTGTAGGAATATGAGAACTTAAGAGACTGGGAAAACCCCTACAATATTTCATTTCCTATTGTTCTGTCTACAAAAAAAAAATAATTATGCCAAATCCAAGTTCCCTGACTTTTCAAAAAAGATTATCCTTGAAAACGAACTACCATAGCTGGCTTGATTCTCTGTCATCCAGCCAGTGTTCCCTACTCCCTCCCTCTTCTACTCCAAGTGAGACAGCAAGGAAGAAAACTGGGGTATTTCTCTCCACTACAACAACACAAGGTTCAGTCCATCTACAGAAAGATTGGTGCAGAAGTGATTTCATCTAGAACACAATAAAAATATCCCTACAAACAAGTACACAAAACAAGTGAGGTTACCACATCCTCTTCATAAGCTACCAGGAGACTTCCTTTTCCCCCTTTGTTGTTTTTCTTTTTTGTTTTTCTTTTTTTTTTCTTTTTTTTAATACTGCTCATCATGGCAATTTCTCTTAAATTACTTGTTCTAAGGTGGAACATCAGATTTAAATTCTGCTGGAAGCATGGATTATCTGAAGAAAATGCGAATGAACCTCCGCCTGTTGACAGCCTGTGAAGAGACTATTACATAAATTCATGACAGTGGAGAGCCACTTGGAAAAAAAAAAGGTAGAAAGCAGAGTAAAAGAAAGAATAAAACCAAGAAGAAATAATATATATGGGTCCAGCCATATCTATGTTCCAACAGTAAGGTACAGATAAATAATGTGGATGGTCAAAAAAGAGTCTCTGTATAAGCCAGTCACATGTACAAGAGAGCATACTCCATATTTTAAAATTCCTTACTCCAGATTCTATTCTGGCATACTTTTACTTCAGATAAAAATCTGCCTTTAAGGAGAGAGAACTCATTCTTCATTCCGCTCTGAATCTGATTGCTGCTCTAAACTGGAATTTTCTATTATTAGAAATTGTTCAGCTAGCAGGAAGGAAACAGTTTGGTTCAATATGCTGAAGCTAAAACAGTTTCCAAAGCCTGGCAGGCATTTGCTCAAGTTTAAACACAGAGAAAATTCATATGGATATATAATTTTAACTAATATTGACAACAATTTCTTTCTTTGACTGACTTTGGTGAGAACATATTAGAAGATAGTTAAAATATTCTCTTTTAACTATTTCCTTCTGGAAATCATAGCACCTGAGAACCACAACTCCTTATAGTAATTTTCAGCACCCTTAGAGTACCTCATAGCTTATCTTCTACTTCTGAGAAATCCTTTGTTACCTCCATTCCCAATATTATAGAGGTTGATAACTTTTTTTAAATTAAACAAGAATAAAAAATTTAAAAGACTGAAAAAATGCTTTTGTGAAACATTAATTAGCAAACAACAAAAAAAAGTAAAAAAAGTCACCAATACAAGTCACAAAACAAGCCAAGTCAATATAATGTAAAAGTTGGGCTGCAAAAAACACTCCTGTAATTTTCAAGCTCTAGATGAAGTAAAGCTGTGAAAGCTACCTGACTTACTTGCAGTTGCATTATATTTTGATGATTCTCCATTTAGAAACAGGATAGTGCTAACTGGTTTTGATCCTGCAAGAATTAAAAACACCTGACATCAGAACTATTTTCATAAATTTCTACAGGCATTCATAATCTAGCCTAAACAAAAATAACTCTGCACAAATACTCTGGAAAGTAAAACTGAGTTTTGCTTTTAAACTACAAGAGAAAATTATTCCAGTATAGAATATGGAGGAAGGAAAAACTGGTGTGGAAAGTTAAATCAATTTGATGACTTGGACAGTGACACAGGAGTATTTTTACTCTTAATAACCAAAAAACCCCCTAACCAACCAACAACATTGTTGTCACTAGCATATTAAAGTCTACATTTTGGCTGGACCCTACAAAATGCCCTTTTTCCAGAATCAAGTGAAGGTATTCCCCTTCATCCCCGTCCCTCAAAAGTTAAATATTTAATTTTATATTACAGAAAAATACAAATTTTAAATCAAAATTATTTACAATAATTCAGAAAGGGCATTTGTTATCAGCTCTGTAAGAAGCCTGACACAAATGATCATTCTGATACCAGTAAGCTACTTAAATGCTTATATATGCACCAGTTAAGACTTTTAATTGGCTGTCTCACCCAGCTTTGAAAGCAACGCACAGTCTCCTGCTTTCCTGACTCTTCAGTAAAATGTGTTTAAAGAACAATAATAACATTTTAATGCTTCTTCCATGCTACATTAAGTAATATGCCAAATCTTATGACTGCAACGTATATCTTACGAGTTATTTCAGAGTAACTGTTCTGAAGAAACATTTATCCTAACTGATGTCCCCGTTCCTCCAAAAAGATATATTGGGTTTTCCTCCTTTGTACCAACTCTTAAATAACTTGTACAAATACAATTTCAGGGACCTTTTTCACAGAAGAAAATCATCACAGAGAGATCATCAGGAGGAGTAGTATGCACTCAATTTTGGAGGAAAGAGGTGCAGTTTAAAAGAAGCTAGCTACTAGACTGACATAAGAAGATTCTTCTGTCTTTAGGAGTCTCTTCTAGTCCATTAAATAAATAAATCTGATAATAAAGAGGACAGGTCAAAAAATAAACAAGCTTGCAGAGAATATGCAACTTGCAAGTCAACAGAAGCCCAGCCAATAGCTTACAAAAAGCAGGAAAAAAAAATAAGATTCCATATGCCTTAATTTAAAAAATAATTATTAATGCATCTCACCCCTATTTAAGACTATAACCTGAATATCAAATTTAGGAGTCCAGACTAATCACAATTAATGTGGCTCTCCACTGCACCAAACACACATTATCAAAACAATTTAAAACTTTCACATTATTAAATCTAAATTAATAACCCCCACAGAAAAAGTCTTCCAAATAAATAGGTTTTTTAAATGAATTTAAAAGTTGTGAAAATCTATCAGAAATAAATTATTGATAAACCACCTTCATCATCTTCCCCTCATTAATTAGGTCAGAAACTACCAGCAACAAATGATATTCAAGCCCTGATGAGAGACTATTTCTCACAGTCCATGTCTCTCTGAAGATTTCCCCGTTCCCATATGGTTATTGCTGAGCAGGTGTGGCACAGTGAAAATGCAGCATTGGGTTGGGTTTTTTTGTGGTTTTTTTTTTCTTTTTTTTCTTTCTCTTTCTCGTTTTTGTTCATCAGGCAGTGTTTTAGATGGTACATGCAAGTCTGCTCCAAGCAGAGGACTAACAGCAGCTCCAGGCTCTGTCGACCTCAGTACTGGTCTGTGTAGGAAAGACAGCAGTAGTAGAAGTAGCAGCTACATTAAACAAAGAAGCGTGCGTGGCCATTCCGGTTCAGCTTCAAGATCTTCCCAAGGCGCTGTTTAGCAGTTGCCATTCCTTTCTTTGGACGTTTGCCTGAAAAATGAAATCAAGTGCTTCAATCAGGAACTTCAGAACAAGCTTTAGTCGTTGCAGAACAACGATGAAACGCAGCGTTCAAGCTGAAGCAGGCAAAATTCTCACCCAAATCAGTTTCAAAAACAAACAAACAAGCAGGAAATCAGAATTGGAAAAATAACCAGGAACCATTTTTCCTAAACTCTGGCTAGCATTCTCATAAATAAAATGATTCTATTATTTACAAACCTTTCTAGTCTGTAATAGGCAGCAGGTGTAGTAGGAGAGAACTTAAACTGAGCTTCCTGAATTTTACACAAGTTATTCCCTTGAGTAAGTTATAGAATATAAACTAGAAACTGAACACTAAATAGTATGGTCATCAGACTATTTCTGAAGTGTCAGAATTTTTAAACCTTCACTTTGATAAGGAAATCCGATTCAGGTCAGTGTTTCAGAGAATAGTTGTATCTGTTCCCTGTAATAAATGCATAAGAAATATCCTGTGCAATTGCAACTATGAAAGCTTCATCTGGCCACACAGCCAGTTAGATCACTCTTAATTCACCTACACACATTCTGTGCCAAAATCTAAGTGTCCACAGTATGCTCACTTTGTATTTTTCCTCAAGGTCTAATCCTGTCCTTTACTCAATTTCTGCATTTAACAGTTCTTTTTGATGTTTACCAGCTCCTTTTCCTAGTCTTTTTCTCCCCCTCCCCTGGCAAGAGGATGAAGATAACCATTACCTTTTGTTGCCTGGTTGCTGATAGGGGGTGGGTTTGATGCTGGCCTCTTTGTTGGATGAAGTGGTACAGACAAGGACGTTTCACCATACGGCCTGTCGGGGCTAAGGCTGCCATCACTCAGCTGACATTCTCCTTGAATTAGACTGGAGTCTCGTGTGTATTTGCCATGCTGAAAACTCAAGCTGTTGTTGTGGACTATGCTTCTGTTTTCCTGAACCTTATAATTGGCTTCTGATGTACCCTCTTTCTTGATATATTTTTGAGTTTTATTTGCATCCTAGTATGGAAATGAGAAGAAAAAATGTAGAGGTTAGTACCTTCTGGCTACAAGTTCACTCCAGTTTTTCTAATTCTAATTTGTGTCTTTGGAAAAGATATTTTAGTTCCACTAGTATCTGAACACTTTATGATTCCATCATAGATACCTCTTAAAAATAACATACAACATAGTCTCTGTGCAATTTTTTCCATATGCATTTAAGGGCAACACTACAGATTAATTACATATACCACTGTATAATATGTATAATATATGTATATGCAACCAGGTAATCTAGTTTCAATATTCAGCTGATAAGACAACAAATGCTAAATCGGGAATTAACGAGTACCATGTAGTTACATATTCTTACCAAGCAAACACTAGAAAGCACGCAGTTAAAAAAACAGTGTTATTTAATAGATGCAATTTTGCAACTTTATTCTATTTCATTAATTATTCTAATACTTCTAATACAGGTAAGTTTAGAAATACTAAAAAAGTTCAGATTGTCAGAAACACAACCTATCATTCTTTGCTGGAATCCATCTGGATATCAGAAAATAAGAATATTCCTACCTGTTGGCTGTTGAAAGGTTGTATCATTTTGGCAGTACCAATTTCCTAAGCAAGTATCTTTATTATAAATACTATCAACATATTCCACTTGTTCTTAAGCTCTGGTTGGGAATAATAATAATAAAGTGCTTCCCCAGTTAGACTGAATGTAAATTCATGCTTTTTGAAAAAGTATTTTTGATTTTTCAAGATACTGCCCTGAACACCTTCATACTAGCCAGTATGAAAGAAGAGAATTTGAAAGCAAAAAAAATGTTTAAAGCACTGCTTTACCTGAGGGGTAATCCTTGAAGCTTCATTTAGGTGTCTAGTCCATGCTGAAGTTCCCAAGTCTCTTTCCTCTTCCTTCACAGACCTACCTAAAGAGAAGTTCAACAAGCCTAAATTTTAAAATCAATAATTAAGAATACAAAGGTAACTATACATTTGAGTGACTTTAAAAACAAAACAAGGAAAAAAGGAAAACCCAATGGAAAATATTTCCTGAATACAAATTAAAATTTACAGCTGCTTGGTTCTACATACTAAATTGGGAAAAAAACCTCACAGCATAAATAAACCTAAATAAGGATCAACACACCACTGTAAGAAGGTCAGACAAATATAATCTTTCAAATTTCAAAGCCCTGATGTTGAAGACAGCCTACTTTCTTTGTTAAAACTGCAGTTTTTCTACCATGGTTTTGTATCATGAGAAGCTCATAGAACAATGGACATTTCGTTTTCAGGTATTATTGACCGTATTTTTTCTAAGCACTGATGTGCTATTCAGGTGCAATATAAGGAAGAACTGTGCTGATAGGCCTATAGAAGAAGTGTCTGCATTGAAAATACATTTACAATACAGTTAACTTGTAAAATGAAGGGTATCCCAAGACACCAATTCAATTTGCATTTGGAGAGACTGAAAGGTTTTATGAAACCTGCTAGCTAACAAGCACAGTTTCATCTTCACCCGTGTAGTTTGACACACGTAGTGGCTCTGGTTGGAACAGATTTTTTTCCTAACAGTCCATATAATGCTGTATTATAAATTTGTGGCTGAGCCAGTGTTCATAACACACCAAACTCCTGACTGTTGCTGAGTAGCGCTTGCACAGTGTCACAACTTTCTCCTTTGCTCCTTTGCTCACTGCAGTAAGTAAAGTAGGAGTAGGCAAGAGATTGGGAAGGGACATAGCCAGGACAGCAGACCTGTATTGGCCAAAGGAATATTCCATACCACAGAATAGACATAGAATGTTATGCTTGGCAATAACAATTGGGGTAGAGGAAGAGGCTTGTGGAAAGGCAGTCGAAGGCAGCCCCTGACCACAGACTGACTGAGCATCAGTTTGCTTGAAGAAGGTAGTGAGTGACTGTCTTTACGCCACTTGTTCCTTTTCTCCTTTCTTCATTTACTAAATTGTCTTTATATCAATCCATTAATCTTATCACTTTTGCTATTTCTACTCCCTTCCCTATTCCACAGTGGTGGGGGAGAGAACAAAAGGCTGTGTGGGTGCTTAGCTGCTGGCCTGAGTCAACCCATCACAACCTGGAAACCTGAATCTTATGACTTTCATGAAGTTACAAAGGTGGACAGACACTGTATGTGTCTGTGTGGTTTGCTGGTTAGGTTTGGGTTGGATTTTTTTTCCTGCTGTTTGTGGGTTTGTTTGTTTGTTTGTTTGGTGGGTTTGAAGGACCTAGAGCTTCAGTTACCAGAACACAGTCCATGACATCACATTAGGCTTTCCTGTTATCTAGGTAAACAAATATCAACATACTATCAGTTCTTTGAATCAGCACTGTGCTTGCTGGTGGGGTTCTATTTGTTTCACATCAGCAAAGCTATAATCCTCTTCCATTTCTCTCTCAAGCAAAGAAAGTTCACAAATGATGACTTTTTCTCTGTTCCAATAAGTGATTTTGATTCCTTTGAGGGGATTAGTGTTAATGTTCTCCTGTCTTGCATTCCCAAAATGCGTTTAACAGATGTTTGCTTTCCACAGACATCAAAATGCCACTGACAAAAAAAAAAATGACCTCTGAATTCTCCTCTTTTAATGCACTGTATTCATAGCAGAATTTCAGGAGTAAAGCCAAATATGCCTTCCAAAGACACATGAAAAATCACCAAGCAGATTCCTAAGGATATCTAAGCAACACAGTTGTTATGAAAGCTGCAACCATGAAGGTTCTGTCTTTTCTGAAAGAGATTACATTTGGCAAAGCCAAAACTTTGCCAGTCTTATAAGGATGCCACAAAACTTTTAGATGGAAATATTTAGAAGGGGTTTTTTGATGACAAGCTAACTTTGTCCCAGTTTTCAGAAGTAACACTTATTTTTTACTAGAAAAAAACAACAACAAAAAAAACCAAAGAACACAGTTTTAAACGTCAGTCTGATTAAAAACTACTAATATAAAGACTACAAATCTAAAAATGTAAATTTAAGTGCTTATGCTGAGCACTCTGTCCAAAAGCAGAGAGCAACAGTGTCATTAGTTCAGACACCTACCACATTCTATTGTTTTGTGGCTCTGAGATGGCTGTCTGTCTTTATGCCGACTCCTGGCGTAGCTTCTGTGTTCCTGAAGGGAGGTTCTTTTATTTGTGCAGTCTGTGCTTTGAGTATGACCTGGTAAACATGTAGTATAGTGCAATCCTGCCATAGAAAGCATGCCCTGAATAGCTTCTTCTTCTGTACTTGTCGAGGTAGGACATTCCCTAGAAAAATAAAGGAGTAGTAAGCAGTTCAAAACAGAATCCTCTGAAGGACTGAGTTTTACATTGGTATAAGGTAGAACAATAAATATACGTGAAAAGGTCTAACAGTTTATAAAAAATGCCCACAATGTGCTTACTTTTTACTGGGAGTTTCATTTCTGGATGGCTTCTGGGTATTTTGACAAAGGTCTCTCATGACCTTAGATTCCTCTTTGAAATTTGATGTTACTTCCTGCTTCTCTTCATCACCTGAGCTTTCTGACTCCTCTGTGGAGGAATCCTTCTGCTGAAACAAGAGGAAACAGAATGCAGAATGGTCACCAGACCCCCTAAATGGAGACACTACCTTAATTTATGCTAAGTGAATAACTCAAAAGTTTTCAGGTCTAACTTTTTCACATATATAGTATTCAGAATGCAGTTGATTTGAATAAAGTAACTGAGATGCAATACATCCAAATTTTGTAATACTGGTGAGGACATGTTCCAGTATAAAAAGCGTTTCCAAAATCCATGTTCTTACAAACCACCACAAATATTAAAGCATATACAAATCATTGTATTCTCTTTCAAGAGAGCACTAATTCAAGGTAGAGGAAAAAAACCCAGAAGTGTGGTTCTAAGCAGCAGCCAGAACTGATGCATGTTACATATAACAGGACACATTCTGCCCGCTTCTGGTTCCTGCTCTCACAAATCTAACTTGCAGCAGCACCATCTCTCTAATGAATGACAGAAGCTCTCAGGTAAATCCAGAGCACAGCAGGAACAGAGACACAACAGCTGTTGTCTCTCTTACAGTGGCACAGCCTTCATTTCATGAATGAAAGAGCTTTTCAGCCCCTGCTGAGATTACAGCTTGTACGGGCAAGAGCTTCTCAAAGGTGGAGCAACCATATGTGACTCAATATGCCTTTACATGAAGCAAGGGCTACCATACATATGTTCCATCTTGGTAATTCAGACTAATCTATTTTCAACAAGTATGGAGAACATCACAGTGTTTTTTTCAAGCCAAGGAATATGCATGACACTCAATAAAAAAGTTGAAAGTGGAAGATCAGAACATGGATATGTTCTGATCCTTCAAGACTGACACCACTATCATCAAAAACGGAACTGGCATGAATTAAGTGCATTGCATCACCAAGGGATATTTTTATACAATAGTTTCATTCACAAGAGCAGTTTGTTAATCTTTGACACTTAGAAAGTGACACCAATGGGCAATTAAATTATAACTATGATTCAATGTTAATAATAAAGGCGTTGTTTTGCTAAGATCATCTTCAGCACAATGTAACAACATTAAAGGATTTACAGGAGCTACTGAGAGAGTTCATTTTGGATATGTTACTACAAAAGACAAATTCAAATATGCAGAAAAATTATTCCATTAGATATTAGAAATTAAAAAGCAGAAGAGTACGAGAAGAACTAGGAGAGTAAATAGCATTAATATAAAACATTCACTCATTTACAAAGTCATCCAAAACTGGCTACATTCTCTTGGGAAGATGAGATATATCACATTTGAGTAATTAATGATTCTGTGTCTTAGAAAAGGAAACCTGCTGAGCCAAAGTTGCTGACAATGCAGTTTAAACCAGAAGAAGCCATATCATGAAGATTCCTATCATTTATTCCAACATCTAGATAAAGTAATGATGAAAGACAACAAATATCAAAAATAGATCTTGACCATTATGGAAAAAGTAGGAATTTGAAGACTTCTTATAAAGTCTAATAATAGGTTGAAAATTGAACGAAAGACCAAAACATTAGTATTCAAGAAGCATGAAACAAAAATCTGAAGTAATCACTCCACCCTATTGCTAACCAACAAAAATTGAAATTACTAAGTCAGAGCACAATTTGCAAACAAAAAAAATAGTTACAATATTTATATATGCATATGCACATTGTATTAAAATATATGCTTGCAAATATGCACGTGTTTGCATTTATATTTCATTTAGTTCTAAAGAAATCACTACAGTCTAGACACTCAAATGGAAGATTCCCATTTACTTCCAGTAGTCTAAAATACCTGAAGAGGATTTAGTTGCTTCAGCTTATTTAAAAAAACTGAATACCTGTAAGATTGTTTCCAACTAATCATGTACTAAAATGAAACTTGTGTGGTAGATACTTATAATTCAAATGATACAATTTGGACTTTTTACAAAATAAATAAAGCAACTCTAACTTTTCTCAGACTGCTTGTTCCAGAGCAGGGCTCATCCTCTGCCAGCTCCACTTCAATGACAATGGAGATCATAAAACTTGGCTCAAGATAGCATACCTTATAATTTTTCTCAACACTAGGATAAATGAAAAATGAGGCAGAACATTAAGTCTGACATATTAACTTGAACAAGAACTAAATACTTTGTTATTGCGGTTTTAACACAAACTTTGACCATACAAATTTGAAATGTGTGAGCAAAATTATATTTAATGGTTTCATTAACTTTTGTGACTTTTTTTCTAGCTATACCTGTGTAGTGCAATCAGGCTCAGATTCTTCTGAATCAGAAATATCAGAGTACTCTGAGGATCCATTCCTGAGTTCTGATTTCACACTTTCAAAGAACACTGCAGAGAGAAAAATTAAAATATAAGACCCAATATTTATTACATATAATATTTAACTATTATTTTGGAAGTAAAAATCAAGAAACACATGTTTAATTTCTAACAGCCTGCAAACAAAAGCACATCCACACACTGATCCGGTTCACAAGACAATTCTGCTTAGAACTATAATGAATTGCCTACTGCTGACCAACAGACTCCTCAAGCAATTGACTGGATGAAGACAGGAAGATACATCAGGTGCAGAAGAAGCATATATTTTTTTCTCTCCTATAGAGCACATACTCCACAGATGGCACCTTGGGCAATTTCTGCTTTTGTGTATAGGGTAGAGTCAGAGAAGTGGCTTTCAAAAAACATTAATCAGAAATAATGTTCAATATTACTTTGCCTTACGCTCTCTGAACCTGGGATTTCCCTGTTTAAAAACAAAAGCAGTTATAAAGAAACACTAAACATGGAAGTCAAAGGATATTAAATGATTTAAAGGTAAAAAAATTGCATTATTTGCAATTTTACTTCCATATCACAATTTACTGGCATATTCTGCCATTACTGGCATAGCTGCCAACCAGGGTTAAAATGCAGACCTGTTAAATATTAAAGTATTACTGTGATGATACTTGCATTGTCTTTATCACAGAATGACCTGAAAAGGAAGATGAGGAAATATCAACCTTAGACTTGCTTTATGCTAGTACTAAGGTAAAGAACTAATAAGAGAATCAGGTGTCAAAATAGACATCAAAAACACTTGCAATATGACAAAGCAATCAATCAAAGCAGCTAACTAGTCCACATGGTTTACTTCAAGTGCTGAAAGAACTCAAAACATGAAGCAGCTGAGCAGTTCTCATAAACCTGTACTCTTAAGAGACAGCATACATCTCAAAGAACCACAAGTAGGAAATACATTTCTAAGTGTTTGGAATCCACGGCTCGAGGTCAGTGAGCTGCATGTGTACCTGTGTCAAAGATGCTGGCAAAAATCTTGATTAAGTACAAATTTGTTGAAGATGACAATATGCAGTTTAAGTAGTAGTTTTTTGGAGAAAAGCCAAATAGAATAAAAAAATTTATGAATATAGTAGCTAAAGAAAGCAACATCACTTTTCAAGTACTTACAGTTTCATACAAAACTATGCTGAATGAATGAACATAAGAAAAGTTGAAATGTTGGTTTGCTTTCAGCATAGTTTTACATGAAACTACATAAACAATACACAATTCTTCCTAACTCTAATTATGCAAGAATAGAGGATGTATCTGTAACCATATATACACTGCAGTTCTGATAGAGTTTTGCTCCTATTGAAAACTGTGGTAAAGTTCACAAATAGGCATCGAATATGTTTCAAGGGTATTATTAATTTCTAAACACTGCATAATGGTAATTATTTTTAGATTCAGAAGAAAGCTAAACATGAGACTTGTTAACAGAAAGTGAATAAAATGAACAGCTGGTACAAAAAGCTAGAGAAGACCAATTAAACTTCAGAAAGTGTTAGAAAGAGGAATATCTAAACACATTAAATGAGCAACATCATTATATATGAAGTCAAGCTAAATAAAGTAATGCTTAACATATGACAATAAAATTAATATTTTAAATTACTGCAGCTCAAAACAACCCAAGGAATTTCTGATGATAACTCAAGCCTTTGGCTCATTTCAAAAAGGCAAACAAATTCTAGGATAAGCAACAGCATGCACGATACAGAAAACATCATTTTATAGTTCAAAGAATTTTCCTTTAGACTATTGCCTTTTCCAAGAAAAGTTATGGCTCTGTATGCTTCCAGAGACTGGGAGGAATACTCCAGAAATCAGGTGAATGGCAGGAGTCATTATCTCTAAGATCAGGCTAAGCTACTGTGAATTTAAAGAAACATCTTAAATCACCTTCCCTTCATCCACACAAAGTATCTTGCTCTATTAAGCACAGCACTTGATCTTTGTCTCTCTGATAACACTGGGTCACCATTTAAAACCAGGATCTTGGCATGACACACAAAGCTCTATAGAGCTTGATCTGTTTAAAGGCATCTGTCTGTGGACAGTGCCTCTTGGCCTTAATCCCAGTAAGCACAATGGAAGTTGGAAACTGTTATAGAAACAGGTAGCTCCTTTTATGGAATTCTCTGCAGACAATACCTTCCCCTTTCTTCCTCTTTAGACTCTCAGTTAAGGTAAAATAATCAAACATAGGTAATCTTTAATAAGGAAGTTTGAAGACTCTCAATCTTCAATTAAAAATATTAGTGGTAGTCCCAAGTACTCAATTTCTGGAAGAACAATCTCAACATTCACTTCTAGTTCTAAGTACATTTCTTACATTTGGATACCCATTCCCATATTCATTCTGTATCAAATAAGAGCAACAATTTTGAAGGAAATCTACCCTTTCTCTGTATGATTTAATTTTTGATTCAAGTGCAAAATTTACTTTAATTTACTTAGTCTGCTTTTGGAAGTGGAAAAACACCACAGTAAGCCTCACTCAACAAACTGTTTGCCTTGTTGTTTCATGAGTACCCAAGAGAGATCTCTTTCACATACAGGTTTCTTAATACTGTCCTCTGCAACATTTGGAAGCATAGTAAAGAGGGATTATAATTTGCTTTGTTAATGAAAATAATTACATATTTTATGCAGGCTGACAGTGGACTCAAATGTTGTTATGAACTGTTGTGCAGGAAACTCAGAAAACTGTAAGTCTCTAGAGGAGTCATTATCTTTTAAGTGCTGACTTCAGTTTCCTAGTACATACCCTTTGAGCCCTTCTAAGCTCTACTGTGGAAGGGTGTGACTTTTATAATTAAAAAGAGAGCTGAATAGTTATGTCAAGGACCAATCTGTCACTGCACACAGAGTGTACGATTAAAAACAGACACTGACAACAGGCATTCAATACTGATACTTCACTAATACACTGTGTGATCATCACTGCTGAACACTTGGCAGGAAGGTTTCAGGCTACAGAAAGACAGAAAAAGAGTAATCCCTAGTGAAGGATGGTTTAAAGCACTGGAAAGTAGGGTTAAAGTTTTTCACAAATAACCTAAATTCTTTCCCAGTCTTGCAAAAGTTAAAAGTATAAGACTTTATTAATGCTAAATTATGTCTTATCGCTTGTATGCAATCAACCTATTCATTATCAAAACATACAAAATTTTATGATCAAGTAGGTAATCATCAAATGGAACAGAAAAAGTGAAATATAAGATAGGTTTAAAATTAGCTGCGTGTTATGATCCTTCATTCTATACAGTGAAAGATGTGATGAACTTTTCACACTGAAGTGTATTTGGGTAAAAAAAAAACAAACAGCAGTCTTACATCATAAAACAGACCAAAAGTAACAAATACTCATCCAGAACACTAACCAAACCTCCACTCTGAAAAATGCTGTACACAGTATTCAAGATGGCACTAACATAAAAAGTGAGTTTTACTTTTCGTCTCTATCCTGTTGACTTCTGCAGTAGATAGATAATACTTGACAAGTGTTTTGTGTAACTTCTAGTATTACTCCTCTATTACTTTATCCTCTTCATATTTTGGTAAAATTTCAGTCAGACTGACCAATAGTCATTAGACCCTTTTCGAGATCATCAGAATGTTCAACTGATAGGACTTAAAGACAATCTTACTGTTCAGTGGTTTCTGGCCATCTGCATTCCCTTCTCCTTCAAATCCTGAGGGCTGGTCTTCTACCTTAACAGTCGACTTTTTCGACCTTGTCCTGTCATCTTCATCTTCACTGTCTGCTGTGTAAAGACTGCGATCTGTAAATGGACGTCTCTCATCTCTGTCTCAGTAGTAAAGAAAAATTCATATTAATCTTAGAAACTTGAAGCAATTGTTTTCCTTCCATTATTTACAACATGCTCTTGAGATACAACAGTAATATTCTCTTATGGTCATCTCTTCATTCAAAATTGTACTTATTCCCATTTTACTTCCTGTACAACTATCATTTCCATAAACATACGAAGTTTAACACCAGAATATTTTTAAAGAGAAACACTCTAATAGATGGATATAAAAAACTGTTTCTACTTTGAAGCATTCCCTTCAGTACAGACCCAACTAAGCAACTGAATGAAATGCTGTAACAAAAGAACCTGCAAAGAATCCCCTCTTCACTCCTTAATCATGGCTCCACTAGGGGACAGCAGACACAGACATTCCTTCTATACTCCTAATACAAATCTTACTGGTAAAAAGAATTCAGAGCTCCACAAATAAAAATCTCACTAACAATTACCATACTCCAGACCATAATGACTACAAAAAAGTGATCCACAACCAATCCTTTATACCTAATTATTCTTCCATTTGACAGCAGGAGGCGAAGATCATTGTCTTTTGTTCGCCACTCAGGTACTGTAGAGGATGGCTGAAAGGGCTTGTTAAATCTCCCATTCAGTTTCGAGCCTGTGATATCCTAAAGAAGTAAAAGCAATGTTGCTTGTTATTTATTCTTATAAATTAAATTGGGTTTTTTTGCACTCCATAAAAGCTTAAACTCAGCACTAGGATGGTTACCACCTGAATAACCAACTGCAGAAAGCTCAGAAAAAACATGTTTGGATGTAAAAAACTTCAGAAGGTGACTGCACCTTCTCCTTCCTTGAATCACCTATACTCTCCTGAAGCATCTGAAACAACTACAACTTTCCTGTAATACTCCTTTTACGTTTCCTTTGGAGAAATACCAGTAGAGACAGCCAAGCCAGAAGCTGGGCTTGGAACTGATATGGCAGCTCCAGGACTGGGTATCTGGTCCCTGAAATTAGTATCTCAAAACTAATTTAGAGGACAGTAAAACATCAGTAATGGAAAGTAACCTGCCATAAGCAGAACTTTCTTAGCTCAAAGCAACTTACATTCGACATATACTCTGAAGCAATCAGCAATGCAGTTATGCCCCAAACCAGGAACATGTAAAATAATTTTTTTTTAAATCTCTGTACTGATAGTGAGCATTATATTTCTGCATTGAATGACAAAGACTAATTCTCCTAAACATTTGTTTGCAGCAATGCACTGCATGAGTTAATTATTTGTGGCAAATTTTAAATTCAGCTTCCTGTCTTTGGGGGCTAAAATGAAGTTCCATGCCTTATGAAGATCAGTCTAAAGACCCAAATCAGTATTTCTCCACTATGAAAGTCCATCCTCTCCCAGCTAAATTTGTCAGCATTGCTTATACTCAAAAAGCTACTTATTTGCTTTCATAAAGCTACTTATTTCCCTTCTCTTAGTCCTTCTTCCACTTCTGCTGCTGTTCTTTGAAATAATGTCATCAAACCTGAAAAGAGGTATTTTTCAAGAGAGTACTTTTCACTCATTTGCTCTATGATATCTTTGTAACACAGCCACAGAGTCCACGGCCCCACTATAGAGACCAAAGGCATCCTGAAGCTTAATGGTAGGGAGGCACTGTCACATAGGAAATAGGAACATGACAAAAAGCAAGGCTAACCAAATTACAGTAACTATAAGAACTATACAGAACTACTAGAAACAGCTATCGAAAAACACAGAGAACAGGTTGGCTCAGAGCCTCACCAAATCAAGGCTTTGCAAGCTCCCTTCTTCAGATAATTGATTCAAAGTAGCACTTGACGGCTACAGCAGACTACAGTAATTCAAAAACTGTACTTGAAGTGGGTAGTGGAGTCAGGGCATCCTCTGAACCAATATTTTGCAGGAACCTCCACAAAAAAAATTATCACAGAAAAGAGATACTCCTCTCAGAAAAACTCAAAAGAAATCAAACCCAAATCTATCCATGTTTCATATGACAAAGAGTCGTAGTCTGTATTCTTATGCATCTTTAAAGTGATTCCTTATCAACAGAGATTAGAAACCTACTCTAGTTTTGTTTTTCTTGCACATAGCTTAACACTTGCCTCCTCCCATGGTGACATCTCCAGCCTTTTCAGTACCTCCCTAGTGTGGAGTTCCAGGATATCCAGATTAGAAGGAGTTTTGGTAGCATGGTCTCGCAGCTTCCTCACCCTTCGTCTGGAGTGGTGAGGGGAAGCTGTTTCATGTGAAGATCGTGAAGTTGGAGACACACCAAGAATTCCCTGAGTTTTAACTAGTTTGCTGTTTTCCTCCTGTAATTAAAAACACATTTTAGAATAGTCTCAGAGGAATAAATTCACATATTTAAGTGCTGCCTCTTGTTCGTCTAATAAATTATACAAATAATTGTTAGACCTTTTGGAGAAACAGTACATATTTCACTTGGATTTGATGAACAAAGCTTAGTTCTATTGCACCTCTTTCCCATTAGGGGTTTTTACGCTATTCCATAACAGTGGTGCTTAACACCAAAAGCTACCACCAAAACATATGCTTTTGTTCAGGCAGCATCGGATAGACCTGTATTGTACACAACAGGTCACATCTCAGAGCTGTTCTCTCCACATACAAATGTGAGAATTTTCCAAGAATCAATATTCATTGAGGAATAAAGGAGCAAAACACTGGTATGTACAAGCAATCAAAAACAAAAGGAAGGGAAAAGACATCCCCACTATGTAACAAACAGCCACAAAACACATGAGGGAGCAAAAGAGATGACAACTGGACCAAAAACTAACAAACAAGTGGGTAGGAGAAAGGAATATGCACAGAATTTCAAATTGAAGTCTTTAACGACACGTTAACGGTAATTATTTTAAGAATTTATAAGTGAGAACATTTTAGAAACACTGACCTATAAATAATTTAACCATTAAAATTTAAAAAGAATTTTAAAAAAAGCCATAAACACTCACTATACATTTTCTTTATCTGAAATACCCATAGCTTAGTATTCCCAAGAGTTTTCCTCTTGATCTTCTATTATTAAATGAATGTTTAATAAATTAAAAAGTGAATACAGTCAATCAGAAGCATAACTACTACGGAGTTCCTGATTGAAAGATTTTTTTCTGCAGGTTTACGTAGGTTGCCTCTGTTCTTACCTCTACAGAACGAATCACTTTAGAGAGCTCTTTGATGAGATGCCCAGGCCTAATGTTGTCTGGAATTTCAAAGGCATGTTCTGTTACAAGCTGCATGCAAAGGGGGAAGAAAAGATACTTAATTAATTTTTTTCAGATAAAATCAGAAATAATATGAAATAAACAAATCTACAGGGGAAAAAATAAAATAAAAAAATCCCAAATAGATTCATTTCTATAATAATGACTGCAGACTTCTAGGATGATACACAAACACACACACAGAATCTTCCAGTCCAAGTTTTAGTAGGCAACAGATATCACTCAATGGCTCCAAGAACCCACAGAAGAGGTAATACAAAGCCATACTGACAGTCAACTTTTTTTTACCCTCAGTACAGTAATCAGCTTCTTTTTTTCCTTCAGCATGGTCAGCATAGAGCCATACTTCAGACATTCATTAGAGTTGTGACCTTCGAAACTAAAGACTTAAAGCTAAAGACTAAGGAATTTCACCATGGCAAACATTTAACCTAAAGAGTAAATCAAGAAAAATCATCAGTAACCAAGACGCAAATTTTTAGACCTCTTCCTGACATGTAATATTTAAAAATTACCTTCTTAGCTTATTTAGAATCTAATAGGTTGGAGAATGCAATTAAAAAAAAAATAATCAGTCCCTATAACAAAATATAGAAAGCCATAAGAGTTTATGTTCCCTTTAATCCTCTGAAATCGTATCAGAGACAGATTTCATATATACACACACAACCAATCTGAATAATTCCAAATGCTCTACAGTTAGATCTAGTAAAAAATATGTTTAATATTTTGTATGTAGTTTAAATGTTTAAATCTCAAAACACTTTTAGTTAGAATTAAACAGACAAAACAGCACTCACATAGACCAGAATGACTGATATGAATTCTGCTATCCCTTTAATCAACCATTTAAATGGTAAAACATCCCAAACACTTTCAGTTACCCACATTTCAAAAATGAGATTCAGCAGCAAAATGATTGCTAGAAGCAATTCGATACTGTATGTGCATTTCATTGAACCTGGCTTCCCCTCAGTCATTAAAACAAATGCTTTCTCCCCCTCCAAAAAACCCCAACATGAATGTATAATCATGGTATAATCATTCATTTTAGTGTCATTAATTCTACAGGAAAAATTAAATCAGCTGCTATTATCTACCATTCTTCATTCTTTGAATGCATCACCTCCACACATTCACACTTGAGAACACAGCATCTCTGTCACTAAACTGCATAATTTTCCCAGCAAGTTACTGGTCATTTTAGGATCATTCAATCCTTTCTGCTTAAGGACTTCACCCTCCCAAAGGTCTTCCTTTTCATGAAGACTTCAAGAGGAAGTGACTGATGGAATCCTCCCAAAAACTAGTTTAAAAACACTAAAAAGCCTTCCTAATGCAAATGTAGTTTATATCAGAAGCATGTTATTTTGCCAGTATGATTTATAGTAACTCCTTGAGCAAAGTGAGTTCCACAGGCAAGCTCACTTGTTTGTCACGATAAAAGCTATCTATTTACACCAAAGTTTTCTCAATTAAGCTGCGGCAGAGAGATATGAATACCCTCAGAAGCCACATCTGAAAAATTATCATTATTATTAAATAACTTGTTTTTAAGTTGTCTCTGCATCCTCGTTCTTGGAAAAGAAACATGTAGCCTTTTGGACTGAGGAATTCTCTTTTTCTAGGGAAACCAGTAGCAACAAAACAGCCTAAGTATGCCAGATGTCAACTGCAGGTAAAGAAAACAATGAAAGAAAGCTATGATTCATTCAAGAGCTTCAAGAAATGGTTTTGTAAGAGTCAGAAATACACAAAGGAAAGAGAAACTTGTCTTAAAACATGAGGTATAGATAAAAAAAATCCTGGTAGGCTAATGCAGAGTAGCATGACAATGAGGTATATCAACACTTAAATATGCACAAAAAATAAAAATTGAAATAATAAACCCCACATACCTTCCTCCTCACAAAAAAAAAATGGGTTTTTTTTTTTCCTTCACAACAGCTAGCAATATCTTTTTTAAAAACACAAAACAGTTGCCCAAAATAATCTTACTGGTACATGAACCAAACGTCTTAAAAACTGACTCTGAGACCTGTTGCTTATGCAAGCTGGAAGGAAGTCAGAGCTAAAATTCAAGAGCTCAGATAACTGGGCAGGTCATCATCATTACTGCGTGTATCAGTTAGAATGCAGAATGATGGCCTGCACCAAAGCAATTGGAGGACATACACACTGATGAAAGCCTTGCACAAACTGAATTCAAATCAAGACATGAGAACTAAAATAATTTTAGTAGCACTCAACCTCTGTCCTCAGCATCTTTTAATTTTTGGTAGTTTTTAAACAATGCAGCAACAAAGATACCACTGCCCTGTTGAAGATGACTTTGAAATTCTCTAGTAAATGTTATATAATTCTCTAAGACAACTTCCATATGTCTTGAAAAGACATACTCCATGATACGAATGTGAAGCCTCCTGTAGGCTTGAGAAGTAGGCTTCTCAAGTGAGGAGCAGACATTTGTCATTTCTTTTTCAGAATCTGTCTGAAACCCCTAGTATGAGCAGATCATACAGCCCTGTACAAAGCTCCTCCTGTCCTCACCTGCATACAACTACAATCCTATCACACACATGGCCTGCTGCAAAGAAAAGATCAGCTCACATATGAAGCAGTAGCTAGATGAACACAAGGTACAAAACATGATAGCTGGTGGACAGCAGACAGCATTGTGGTTACATCACTGATGCTCTGCAGTTTCCTCACAATTGATGAGTCTGTTCAGCCACTGGTTTGGGAATACTCACAGGTCTCATTAGTAATCATTCAGAATGCAGCAAGTGCAATTGATTTTTCTTCCACAGAAAAGTAGAAAACATATCACATTCCACATGCAGTATTAATCAAACTCCTTAATGAGCTACTAGACAGTACACAAATGCTACAATACTATACTACAGCGATCTAGAAAAAAAGAAATTCCAATCCAATTTCAAATTAAAATAAGGATTTATATAGGCTATGTTTGATCTCAGTTATCAGCAGTCTTATTATCTGGCTTGCTTATTATCCATGCCCCAGATGCAGAGATAGCTTGGATTCACACGTGGTTTAGAAGCTTAGGCACAACATCCTGCAAATACTGCTACACTGCTCACTATCTAGCTTTGATCCAGAACAGCACAGACCAAGAGACACTGGAGAACCAACTCAGAGTCAGCACAGCTTCATCTGGAATGAGTAAAGCTACACAGGCTGGACCCCAGCAGATTCCACATAAAATAACCAGTTCTGCATTTGTACCTCATGTTTACTTCCACAGAGCTTGTAATGTTCGATGCAGCACTGTGCAATTATCATACGTGTTGTATAGTAAGTTCTCTTAAAAGTAGGACTTGTGGGCAGAAAGACCAAAGAGATCTCAAAGAGCCAGTTCAAGTAATCAGGGCCAGCAACAAACTAGAACTAACAAACTCAGTCAGAACTCAACTGCCTGTCAGCACACAGCACTTCCCTGGAGCACCAGTTCCAAGAGGGCCTAAAAGCACAGGCACATGAAAAAACACACGGGGTTAGACCAGATCCAGTTCTGTGCCAAAACAGGTAAGCTTTCCTGGAGAGAAAACAGCACCAGCAAAGCCAGCATTGATGCCATACTAATGATTTTACAAGAGTCAATCCATGTTCAGCAAGGACAGTATTCAACTGAAGTCAATATTCCTCAGTCTGAATCTAAATCGACTTTTCAGCAGATGTAGCTGAAATGTGCTTTCCAAATTATTGACTAATATCAGGGCATTCCACCCTCCACTGCATCAGACTAGGGTCAATTGACTACATAAACACATTTTTTAGAAAAAAGCCCCACCCTATCATCTTATCCTCTAGCATTCTTATCCCATCCTGAGGTGAACAAGATTCTACCTCTATCAGCTACAATACTTGAGATTATTAATTGGTCTAATAGACTTTATTAGCATTATGGAATATAAAATTGTCATGATGATTCTTCCCCAGATCAGCAGTGTATACTCTCCATAGACTTTTTCCATACTCATTAACAGATAAAAATAATCTTGAACTTTAAAAGGGCACAGATCTTCACTTAGTTCTAAATCAAAACAGAGTTCAACAAAAAACCAAACATAATCACTTATACTTACTTCTTTTTTCATCCATAATTTTAAAGCAGTAAGTAAAGCCTTCACTCCTTGCACTAAATAGCTTGGAGGCTGGAAACCATCTTCCCTCAGTTCTAAAAAGGATACAGCAACCAATTTAGAAACAGTGAAAACAATAGAATGATACCTACCCTTCAGCCAATAAAGTTGCCATTGTGCAACAGCATATTAAAGGAAAAATTGTGCAAGCAAATGAAACATGACATCCTGTATTTATGTGCATACTGTAACAACAACAACAAAAGCCAAATCCAACACTAAAGTGATTCTACATAAAACCTTCCTGTGTGAATTAGGGTTAGTTTACATCATACTCAAGGTCAATTACAAGAAAACCCCAGATCTAAAATACAGAAAGAAATCACTTTTATTTCATTGGAAATATTTTAGTCAAAGGGGACCGGAAGAATGTGGGATGTATCTCTAAATTAGAATTTGTATCGCTTATTCCCATACGTACTCTGCAAATGGCTCACACTAGCATACTTCCATTCCCCAAACATTTTCTGTAACCCTTCCAATTATCACAGTTCTCCCTCACACAGTTTACTGCATTTTTCCTCCCAGAATCAAAGGGGACATGAGGTGGAAACCACTCTGCTACAGAAGCTTCTCTTCTTAAGGAAGCTGGTGCTCTCAAGTAATTGCAACCTCTTTTCTCTTTTCCTTCATGAGGGTGAAAAAAGAAGGGAAAAGACAAATACTCCATAAACAGCCAAAAGTAGATAACAATCTCTCCTCATGTTCCTGACAAATATTTCCACTTCGCAATAGCAAATGGATCAACACTAGAACTACTTGGCTCATTTTATTCCCCTAAAAGAATACACTAATAAAACACTGTTCTTATGGATAATGTATTAGTATGCTGGCAGAAAAAGGGAAGTTCTGTTACTAAACAGTTGTTCATGTCTCAAAGGCCTCCTACTTTTCAAAGGGTATGAGAAGGAGTGGTAGACTTTGAGTTGTAGCAGTAGTCTTCCTGCCCACTAGCTTACTCAGTTGGTATGTCTGTGACCCTGTTACCTTTTTATAAAAATAATCAGAAGGATAAGCTGTATTGATTTTGCTTACTGACTTGAATTTCTTATAAAGTACTGCCAACAACCATGCACTCAATAATTTAGAGGCTGGACATCACCATTACCTTACACAACCACACCGGTGTCATCCTTTGTTTATAAAACAATGGATTCTGACTAGAAAACACCTAATTCATATAAGTCTTCATGCCAAAGCCCAACATAAACTTCACTCTAGCCATGGAAACCTCAATTTTCATTTTTTATAATGGGTTTATAGGTCACAGCATTGTTCAGCAACAAACATCTGCTGAGCCAAAGATTAAATGTAATGTGAGAATAAGTTTCATACTCCTTCCCTAAGTCACAAGAGGCTCCTAGCCTATGAACTCAAGGAGTTGTGGGATAAAAAGGGGAGGGGGAAGAGTGGGGCCAACAGACACAGCTTATAGTTAGCTAGGTGATATAGAAACATACATATTCCACTGCTTTTCCAGCAGGAATACAGTTCCTGTGTCTTCTGATGAGTTTGTAAGCACTAAATATGCAGGACTGAGGCCAATCAAAGCAAGCTTTTAAGACAAAAATACTTTCTTTTTGGAAGGAAAAATTTTCTGCAAGTTTGTTCCATTTGGTGAGATTTCTGAGTTGCTTTAGGTTCACCAGAAACTTTAAACGCTCATTTTGGAAACAAGGGTTGTTCAGTGTCTTCATTTGCTGAAAGGAGAATAATTTTCAATAACTTGTAACTGTTAGAACATTAGAAAAAGGTTACATTAGACTCTGATCTCTTTCAAAGCAGAAGCTGAATTCAGCAGCCTCCTCTGAAGGTTGATTTCTGTCCTTTGAAATACATCATATTATTAAAATTAAATAGAGCAGGCAGAGGGCAAGATATTTGAGGAAAAGAAGGTGAAGTCAGACAGACACTCTATCAAGCTCAATTATACATGGGTACAAATATAGCAATTAAAGAATAGATGAGGAAGTGTGGAAAAGAACAGCAAACTCCTAGGAACTGATGCATCTTTCCCACAAAAGCCCTCACAGATACTTTTATCTTCACAACCAAGAGCAGAGGACAACAGGCAGTGACTGAAAAGGTCAAAGAAAACTGTAGAAGTGCAAGAAAATTTCTCTGTTCAGCTGCGAAGCCACCAAGAAGAAATCCACAGATACAAGTTGGTGGGATCATTTCACAGAATCACTTGCTCAAAGGAAAGGCTATCAAAGGGTACTCCAAGATCTTAAATGATATGAAGGAAGCCTGAGAGAAAAACTGGCGCCATGGAAATAAGTTTCCTATCTTCCTTTAAAAAGCCTTGTGAGATAATGGCACACTAATCCTATTTGGCTGGTAGTACAATTGCAATGTACAAGCATCTCAGATTCTCTGCCTTTATAATCTAGAATATTTTCATTGACTGGATACAGCATAAGCATTAGATGAAAAACACTAATAAAATAGTTCAAAAGTTCCAGCAGCAGGCTATGAGGTGTGAGTTACACGCACCATCAAATGCACTAACATTTCTGTCCAGTGCAAGTCACCCATTATTACCTTTAATCACCTCTTGGTTATTACTAGCTTTAATCATCAAAGTAGTTTTTAGAAAGATCATTTATGAAAACCAAGAACTGCTGGATCTAGAACTGTCACACTGCAGCACTCACTAAAATCTCGTAAAAAAATGATGTGACTTTCCAAAAAAAGGCAAAAAAGAAGTAATTCAAGTCTAGTTTTGCAGCTTAAAAAGTCTCCTCTGTTCACAGAACAGCAGTGCAATTTTCTTCATTATCCATGAAAAGAAAAAGAATTATGAAAGTAGATACAAGTGCATCTCTTAAAACAAAACAAGAATTACCTTTTAATGTTTCCAGTAAGTTTTTGGCCACAAACCAACAGATGGCTTCAAAGAAAGGAAATTTGAAAAGATCCGGGGTTTTTAGCCTCTTCTCCATTTCATAACACCTGAATAAATGCAAATATTAGAAAACATGAATGTTTTAATTATCAAATTCGTTATTCAACTATGTAATCATTCAAATTGACACAATGTCCAAAATAAAATAAAATAAAATAACCATGGTCATGATAAATAAAAGAAGTCAAGTACCACATAGTTAAACCCCAACAAGACCACAGACAAGATTGAACTCTGGTCTCATTCAGGCTCTGACCTTATCAAGTTTGACTGCGGCACTTCTAAGAATAAAGTTGGACTTCAAAAAACTAGGATACAAACCCAATGTGTGATCTTTTAACAGATGGAATTTTATCAGGATTCCACTGTAATAAATAAAAACAATATGTTTAGAAGACAGCTCTACATCTTGGACAAAAACTAAATACAGCTGCCCTTAGAGCAATGCTGACTTGAGGACGCTCATTTCAACTCAGTGTCGCACACCTGGGCTTGCTTAGTTTTGTTTTACTCACTTATACTAATCTCCAAAGTAGAGTTTTTTTCTTCCTTTTTTTTTTCTTTTATTCACTCAAATTCTTGCATAACCTTCATTTTGCTTTTGAAACTTTGCAGAAGTCAAATAAGAGAATGTGCTTGATACATTCTAACTGAAAATGCCACTATTGTCTGAGAGCCTGTACCAATTTGATCCTGGTTAAGCACATGAAGAAAAATCTCTATGAAAAGAATATCCTACTGACTGAGGAAAAAGTATAGGAAGAACTGAGACTAACCTGAGTTGCATGCCAATGTTGAGGTTGTGCAAAAAGTTTCCTCCAAAAGCCATACAATCCTGAGATGTGAGCACAGCGTGAATCCAGCCTGAAATGACAGATCGTGAAACTTAATACATACATATGAATTATTCTAAGACTGTTTTTAAATACATATATAAGTAAAAACACTGTTCCTGAAAGAAAAAAGCAAACAAATTTGTACTCTGTGCTAGGAACAAGTAATCTAAATTTTAACAATATGTAAACTACAGTGTTTCAAAAATCTAGTGAACTGTAATTTTCTGAAGGAGTTAAGCTTAAGAAATTTATTACTGGGAGGGGAAAGTATGTAAAGCCAACTTTTCAAGTAAAAACGGCCTCCAAAATTCAAGTAAAAATTCAAGTAAAAGTTTTCATTCCAATCCACAAAGATAAGCAAGTCCGGAGAGAAAAAATATACTGAACAAAAGATAAAGTCATAAAAAATAAAACAGAAATTATATGTCTTTCAATATTTACATGTTGCTTACAGTAACCGGGTTGTTTGCACAATATAAAAAAGTCATTTAGCAATACTGAGGTTTCTCAAGTAGGAATTCAGAAGTGGTTCCATAAATTATTCTAAATACAGTCACTCTAAGTCAAGTGAAACTATGAACAGTTTAAAACCCAGTCTAGACACTCTATAAAAATTTGTCACATAATTGAAATACTGTCCTTGTGAACTGCACTATTCAACATGGTAAAGCATGGTCAACATGATGCTATCGATCTGGCTAATTACTACTGGATAATTTCAACTAAGTACACAGCAGAATGTATGACATGAGCTTCCTAATTAAAAATAGTTACCTTTCAAATTTACACTGTGCAGTTTTAATGTAAATAAACTACAAATAGGTTTTCTTCTTTCAAGATTTTCTTTCTGATTTTGCACTCATACGGATGATCTTTGACAAAAGACGAGTTGGCCAGACATTTGCAGATTAACTCATGGTTTCATCAAGGGTAGGCAAGACATACAAACATAGGAAGTTTACCAGCTTGAGGCAAGACCAGACCAAGTCACAAGCAACTACCCAGTACAAACTACCACTAAATCCATGCCCTAATTCAGTTAATAACAAACAGTTCTACTTGTTTTGGTACCACATATAAAAAGACTTGAAACTTAACAGTTACGCTGACTAAGCAACACACCTACCCTGTAGCCGGGAAGGAAGTTAAGTTACTGTTGCATTTAACCCCAGGCAGCAGCAACTTAATTAGTACATGGTTTCATTTTCACTCATCATCATCATCACAGTAGACAGACACCTCTGACTCTCCAAGGGATATGTGCGCTTCAGTCCTTTAAACACACATCTCCCCAGACATTGACAAAATTGACAACAAAGCCTCCTCACTGTTGCATCAACACCAAGGATTTTTATGGCATACCTGTATCAGCTAAAGGTTTTAATTATTTTTTTTTTTTTTACACTTCCACTTGCTATTTTTATGCTGCAATTTTGGTCAAGGTCTATGTAACAAGGAAAGAAAATTCAGTGTAGACCACACAGAATATCTTGAATAATGTTTAAATAACTCTAAAGACCCTTCCAGTGCTATTCACCTACATGCAAGATTAATTTTAAATCAGGAGACTACTCTGAACATATTTCAGAGATTATAAAATAATTATGATATCCATTAGCATCAGGGCAAGCAGGAACAGTAAAAGTGGTTTTCGGTAGAGATCAGGGTGGGTTTTTTTTCAAAGTCTTTACTCAGTATGGGAAATTTACAGAATTTCCCATTTTCTTAAACACTTGTCTTGAAAACTAGTTTCATTTATTGGTTCTTACACTATACTCCTAAGTATATGAACAAGGATATGCGTATACACATACACACATGTGTTTACACATATTTACATTTACAAGTACCATTTTATGTGTATACACATGCAGATACCTGTACACATTAGAAATTACCATGTGATGATATTTTTCTTTACAGTCACACTGCAGTGAGAGCTCAGATTCAGTTGATTACTTTGGGAAGCAGTAACAATTTTCAAAGATCTGTGGGCCACAATAAAGTTCTTCATTCTGTAATTCTGAATTCTTTGTTCATAGATGTGAACTCACACTTAAACACAGAAAATTAATGCAATCTCTTGCCAAAAATATATGGTTTTAAAAGCTCTGGCTGTTCAGGAATGTTAAGTGCACAGAGAAGTCCTCACCACGGAGTATTTATTCTGCACAAGCTATGAACAAGAACAGTAAACATTGAACCTCATGGGCAGAGATGAGACATGGGAAAAATCAGTAGTCTAGGAAATCCATGAAAGAATAAGGTACTGACTATAATCTTCAAGGTTTATTCCAGAAGTAGAATCATAAACAATTTTCCTGTTCTCTGTATTTAAAGCTTTCTTTCCCCCCCCAAAAAAGGAAGATAGCACCCAATATAATTTTTAATAATTTAATAATAAAAAGTATTTATATGGATAGTTTGGATAAGTGAAAATAAAAAAAACTGGCACTCACTTTTATTGGCAAAATATGGTTTGATTTAGTAAAGACTTGCAAGTTTATGCTCTCTGGGAGTTTGAATGGGATGGGGTATTTTCTTTGATGGATTTTTCTGCGTGGGGCTTTTGGTTTGTTTTGTTAGCTTTGTTTTTTTTTTTAATAAAGAAGTTTAATTTGATTGGCATTTCTCACGACAAAAACCAAACCAAAAAGAACACCCAACTTGTATTTTTAATCCTATAGCCTACAGCATAAGAAGTTTATGTGATGTTTTTGTACTAATTATGCCTAGTAGGTCTTGCAATATTCAAATCTGTAAAAATAAAAGTGTATTATAAAATTAAGATAAGAATTCATTCTGGATACCTACCGAATAGTGAAAAATCTGAGCTCTATTAATTGGAACTATTTCTCTGATAATCAAATTAAACTTTAATTTGTTGTCTTCTAATTGGGTAACACTCTTTCATTCCCTGGTAATTGTTATGACTGTCAGGCAAAGTTAAAAGCTAATTACTTGTTTTGAAAATCTAAATCGCTAAATTTCTTTTATTATTCTTTCTTATCCAAAATTTTAGGGGATACCAAATGTTGACAACACATTTATTTTATTATATTCTTAATTCCTGTTGATTAAACATGCTAAGTAATAAGAGTAAATAATAAGAGTAATAATAAGAGTAATAATAAGAGTAAAATCTTACCTGTTGGAACAAATAAAGTGTGTCCTTGCTTCACAACACATTTGTAACACTTGTCAACCTTGTCCCCAAAATATACTTCACTCTGGGTAACAGATGAACTCCAAGACTCATAAAGAGCCAAATTTTCATCAGTGGGCTTGATCAAATAGAATATCTTCTCACCCTGTTAAGACAAAAATATCAAATAAATAAATTAATGTCCTCTTAGAGGTATACTACAACCTCTGAGTCACTCCTAATGAAGTAACAGATTGATCTAAATGATAAGTATTCCATCTTCCCACTATGGCATGTTTGGGCTTCCCAGTGTCAGTGTTTCACAACTGTAATCCACCAAAAGTTTAGATATAGTACACTAACCAGTTAACATCTTGTGATTTAAAGGAAGCAAACAAGCCAACCAAAACTTTTCATTGGAGTGTAAAAAATTCCAGCTTTTATAAAGAATTTATGGATATGCACATACATACAAATGAAAAAACATGCCTCTTCTATGATATATACACAGCAAAGTTTGTGAGAACAATAAAAAGTTGAGTATGTCAACACTTTTCATTCCATTATTTATTCCTACTAAAACCTCACTACATCACCTACCAGTCTACTAAAGTGATCAGTCAACCAACTACAGTCTAGAAGTCACCAGTGGCATGCTACAATAAAAACATAAAAATGCAACACCAAAGATCAGTAATTCACTTTCAAGCTCTTCCCACAGCTTTTCAAGTACAACATTTCACACAGGTGATAATGCCATAGCAGAAGGCTGCATGCTGAATAAATTTTGTTTTGCGTAGTCATAATCACCCAGAAGGTGGCTGGGCACAGGAACAGGCTCCCCAGGAAGTGGTCACAGTACCAAGCCTGACAGAGTTCAAGAAGCATTTGGATGATACTCTCAGGCACATGGTGTGACTCCTGGGGATGGTCCTGTGCAGAGCTAAGGGCTGGACTCGATGATCATTATGGGTCCCTTCCAACTCAGCATATTCTGTGATTCTGTACACCAAGAAGCATTCATACCCAGAGAACATGGTACCAAACTGATGTTCCTCCGAAATCAATATGAAAATCAGTGTAGCTGTCCTGGACACCCATCAAGCAGTATTTCTGAACAAAAGGCTTAGGGAAGACAGAATCATCCGGCCAATAATTTTCCACCCACGAAAGCTTTCTGGCAATATCTGGTACTTCCACTAATTCAGACATCCTTTTAAAAAACAAACAAACAAAAAAGAACTGTAAATATAAACAGGAATAATCACATCTCTTTAAAGGCAGCTTCCTACAAAGATATTTATTAGTTCATAAGTAATATGTTTCATACCCACATTACATCACAGTAGCTGTCTACATAAAATACACATCCTCCTCTCTTTCCTACTACAGGCACTATATGCCTACACATATTGTTTAGCTTAGTGAAAACCACTTCCTATATTGAAGGAATTGAAGTCAATACTCACTTTGTGTCTGAGAATTCCAGGCTGATCACATTCAATACTTTGGGTCGGTCAGGATTTGTGAAGTATTTAATATAATTATGGAGCTTCATTTTGCTGTCTGCTTGTCTTGCTACATCTATGACATCTATCACTTTGTCACCACCTGTGAAAAACAGGATGACTCTCTTAAGGCTATGACAGATTAAAAAACTTCAGTTGTTTAACACAAATTTAACTTTTTTCCAGCCTTTATAAAAATATTTCTGCACAAATACTCCACTACTATCAGTATAGTACTTATTCAATTCTCTTATTTTTAATTTCAATAATAGAAAGCTAAACCTGTCACATTCCAACTTTTTCCCTAAACTGGACAACTGGGCAGGTCAAAATGTATGCATAAGGGTGAGATAATCAAGTTTCTATCTGAATAGACAGTAATTCAAAAGAAAAGATTCAGAAGTATCAGAATGATAATTAATCTTTAAAGCAGAATGCACATTACTGTTTAACATTGTAACTGTAACAACATTCCATATTCTGATGCCTTTGTAAAATATTGATGGGCAGAAAACCTACTTTCAGCACAACTCGTTACATTAGGAGATCACAAGAACGCAGACAAGGCCATACACAGACTTCTCAACTGTACCACGTGTTACAGGACATGCCCTGCTGCAATTGGCTCAGCCTCTATTTCTCTGTACTACACACTTACATGAGGCTGAAACAATTACAGACTGTTAAGAGATCTGATAAGAAAGAAATGGTTCTTAGGAAGCTCCAGCTCTCCTGCTAAAGGAAGTCAAGGTAGGAAATTCTCCAGGAAGAAAGATTTAATTCAGACAGGCCAATTTACTAAGTCTAAAACATTAAGTTTAGACATAGTCTAACCAATGACTAAACTTATTAATCCTAAGAGTGATTAATTCAATTCCCATTTACTTTATTGGTTTACAACATGTAGCAGAAAAAGGTCCAGCATTCCACATGTAGCTTGCACTGAAATTAACATATTGGAAAGTTGAGAAAGCTATTGTCCTATCACATATCCAAACAGACACACACTAAAAAAAAAAGAAAAAAGAGAGAAAAAAAAAAACTCCAAACCACAGCTTTAATTGTATTCTCTGCTAGTCTTGAATTTACGATAAATATTTAGCACTCTGGAAGCTCTTATAAACATGCAAATATTTATTTTATTTACAGACAGGATCATTTTAATAAGTTCTCCAGAGTGACTCTTACCTACATAGCGTTCCACATCTAAAACGGAGAAAGTTGGTGGAGGAAGTCTGAGTCCCAGACCATCTAACTTAGGAACCATGATGGGAACATCAAACCCATGTTTCTCCAGGTATCTTTGTGTCAACTGGCTTCCATGCATTTTCAAAATTACTTCATCAGCACTGGTGGAAAGAAATTATGGAGCATTAGCAGAAAAGCATCCCCCAAGCACTACTGAAAAAGAAGCCTCAGTTTGGGGGAGGATGGATGGGAATGGCTACATTTGAATCCAAGAGCATTGTACCATCCATGGTACATTTATATTAAGCATTTAGCTAAAAGACAAAGAAAACAAACTCAACAAGCAAAGAAACTTTTACTGCACACATAACCTGGAAACTCAGTCACTCTATACGGTGGAAAGGATGGGGAAAAGGAATTCTCAGAGAAAGCATTAAAGTACATGTTGCTAACAACAACCACCACCAGCAGCTCCTCTGAAGAACTATAAACCATCATGGTTCAGTGAGATATCCAATCAGGACCAGGATGAAAGTATAACCACATTTCTCTACTTTCCCTTAAAGCATGTGAGAACGGATAGACTACCAGCCCATATGAATGTTCTGTGTTATTTGGAATGAAACTGAGAACTATTCATGAACTACAGGAATAGACAGACAATATTCTGACAGTTGAAGCACAGTAAAGAAAACCAAAAACCAATCAGTTATGTTATTGCCCCCACTTCCCCACAAAAACAACCCCCCAAAACTCACGCCCACCCTGCAGCAGTCCCAACAGACAACATAACCTAGAGCAAAACTGAACAGGGGAGGCTACTGCATGAAAAGGCAAATGTACTCATCTGAAACAGGGGTGGGGTGTGGGGAATTGTAAAGGTGAAGGAAGTTATCATTGACCTTCATTTTCTGAAGCAGAGAAATGTTAGCTGCCTCCCCTAAGACACACCCTGCCGACAACGTTTCTTTGCTTTTCCCACCAAACCGTGTAAGAGTCCGTACCTTGGGAAAGAGCGAGCCCGCAGCTGTTTAACGAAGGTCCGTGTTCCAGCCTGCACTGGCCTGGAACCATCATCTGGCTCCGTGTAGTCATGTCTGTGCCAGTTTCTCCTCTTCTTCACTACAAGTTTCAGAAGGGTTAAACTTTGAATTAGTTAAATCAGATGGCTCAGATTAGCAGTCATCCCATCAGTGAGACAGACATGCCTCAATCACATTACTATGATTAACAAATCTTACTGTTTTTATCAGGTGACACTCTACTCATTTTCAACAAATGAAATCTGCAGGACATCCAACAGTAATTCTCCCTACTTCTATAGCTCCTTCTACATGAAAACCTCAGTGCACATTATACACAATTCAAGACTCCACATCCAGTGCAACACAAATAAACAGTTGCAGCCTGAAAGTTGTCCAAATCTAAGAAAATCAGCAACAAAACTAGAAATTGAACTTTAATTTCCTAAATTCCTTGGACTTTTTTTAATATATGGAAGAATCACACCTCCTGAATATCCAGAGACCTCGTTTTACAAATTCACACAAAATTAACAAGACCTAATCCCACTATGCTATCATCCTCCGAGGAAGCCCATATCCAGTCTGATAATATTACTGCTATTCACTACCATATGCTATTTCTTTTATCCACTGCTTATGTCTCCCTAATGGTTTTGGGTGCAAACTGTTTTGGGAAAGAATGACTTTTGCAATACATATAACACAATCATTGCGCCCCAAACCATACAACTTCAGAGTGATTTGAAGCTTTAATGCAATGTTACAGCATATTAATAAGAAACAAAAGATAAATTAAAGTTCAATTACAATTTTGGGAATCTGAAACTGAGAGTTCAATAGCAACAAAACTGCATTTTTAACAGTTCCTTATACTTAAGGGGCCAATGAAATCAAAAAACTAGACATTCTCATAAAAACTGTTGCAGTGATCTCCCCATGACAAATGACAGATACCCAAATGAAAAAAAAGAAAAATAATATTTTCATAGAATGGTTTTGGTTGGAAGGGACCTTAAAGATCATCTAGTTCCAACCCTGCTGCCATGGGCAGGGACACCTTCTACTACACCAGGCTGCTCAAAGCCCCATTCAGCCTGGCCTCAAACACTTCCAAGATATGGCATCTACACCATCTCTGGGCAACCTGTTCCACCACCCTCACACTAAAGAATTTTATCTTTATATCTAATCTAAATCTACCCTCTTACAGTTTAAAGCCAGGGGTGACAATGGGTGACCTTGCTATTTCACTAAAGGCCTCTGTAAAAAGTTATCTTATTTCTTATAAGCCCCCTTTATATATTTAAAGGTTGTACTATAAAACATTGTAAGCTGTATGCAGTGACCCCATTTGAATTTTTCTACCTTGAGTGAAGCAGAGGACAAAGTGACCAATGATATCATAGTCAACTTAGTGCCTGTCTTCAAATTTTCATTATTTCACGACAAATCATTTCCTAATGGATATCTCATACATTCAACTTCACCAACCATTCATTTTGTATCTTCATTTATAAAGAACACAAGCTTACAGTTTTGAAAGGAAGTCCTTGGTTATATCACCCGTTTGTTAGCAAACTAATCTCTGGAGCATTTCCTCTCTCTGCAAATAAACCTGCATCTGTCATCCTCAAGCTTTCAACAAGCTGAGAACAAATCACCAAAAGGGTGCCTCAGCAAAACGGATCATCATCTCAGTCTTGGAAAGAAACTCCAGGAGTGCTGAACTTCCTACCTTTCTATTTACTTGCCAGCCTATCACTTACAACACTAAGAAACATAGTAAGGGTACAGACATTTTAAGGTTGCATTTCAGTTTTTCCTAAAAAAGCCAAACTCTGCTCCACAGCTAGATAGCTGCTAGTGGAGGACTGCCCCAAGATGATTTACTAACACCAGATTCATAACTTAACCACTAATATTAAGCAGAAATTTAGGTTACGCTGAGGAAACTCACTAGAGGGAAAAATTACTGTTATTTGTCAACACAGAACGTGTTTTACAGGTGTCTACCAAACAGCTTGTAATGTAAACATGACACCCAGACAAAGAACTGCATTAATAAAAAATTTAACTTTATGGAACAGCTCATTCTTAAGTTTACGTAAGTCGTGATGCTCCCAAAAATCTAAAAAAGTGCTAACAAGTACTGAAAACTGTAACAGGAAGCTACAGATGTAGGAGGGGAGAAAATAGTTTCTAAAAAGAAAAAAATTGGTGCTTCTCCAGAAAAAACAATTGGTTATATAGGAATAACAGGCATCATATCATCATTACACATAAGAGGTAATTATTCCTACTGATGATCTGTATCCTGCAGACATGACAACATGTACCCTTTAGAAGACATTTAAGAGAATAAACTGACATTTATAGCTCTTTGCTAAACTGAAAACCAGTGCTGCTTAATGAGCCAACTATCCAAACACTGTAAAACTTCATAAATAATGAAGCCAGGTTTATTAAGTTTTCAAAGCTATTTTCTCAGTCATAAATAATAATACAAGAAATTAGTAGCTAATACTAATTTGCAACAGAGTAGTTTCCCATAAATTCACTGCTGTTATAACAGGTCATTAAAATTGTAAGGCGATACAGCTGCTTAAGAGATTTTATAGCACAGAAAGACTTTCTAAAGTCTGTCTTTCCAACACCTAAAAATCAGGAACTAAGGTAATTCTTCTACTTGTATTTGGCAATATATATCATCCTTTCATAACTAAGAGAACACTGAAGAACGGAAAACAATAATGAAAACTTTCTCTGCCTACATATCTCTTAATTGCAGAGCTTTTCTAACCCCTTAAGACATTACAGTAACAGTTGCAAAAAAAAAAAATTTAACCAAATGGATCCTAATGCTCAAATTAAAACAAACAAACAAACAAATCCTACATAAGTTGAAATGGACATATAACACCTCCCCTCCCAATCACTCCAAACTAGTGGAAGGAACCAGTGTTCACCCTTGGTGTTCCTGAAAATCGAGGCAAAACTCGCTGCGACAACACTAAAAATACACACTAAAAATACACCAGACACTTGCAGGGAGGGTTAGAAAAAGAAAGGAGTGTGCTGCAAGTTTTCACAAAAAGTAAGCAGAAAGCTTACTTTTTTTTTTTTTGTAATTACATTCCTTATACCCTCAAAACAATGGGCCAACAACTGTATCTACTTAGGCAGACACTATTCCCTGCCTTCTCACACTGCTGGACTGTTTGCCTCAGAGACCACCACATGGTAGACTTCAAATGGGGACCATCAAGAGGTGAACAACCCCACAGTGAGGCTCCAAGTCTTGGAAGTGGTACTTCAGATGATTCCCAGTGACCAAAAAGACAAGAGAAATTTTTCCATGGGAAGACTGAAAAATTCTAAGGAGCATACAGTAAACCACAGAGTACACTGCTAAGGCCTGGGACATCATCTCATACTGTCAGCTCAGACCAAGCACAGACATTACTACCACAGACAAAAAAAATACAGGTTGGAGGGTATTTTCAGAATTTGAGAAATCAAAAAACAGATTAAGAAAGTATGTTCTGACAAACACAGTCCTGTTAATTCACCACATCTTGTGCTCTCTCTAAGCTCTGGACACTAGAGTCTGGTTGCAGATCTGACTCAAAGCATTCATGCAAATACAGCATTTTCAGACTTCAGGATCACTGAGAAAACTTAGAAAATAACAAAATATAATATGAAGACTCTAAACCAAATAATATTAAAAAACTCCTCCATAGTATAGTACTATTTTTTTTAATTGTTCTTTTTTAATTGTTTAGGATTTTAGGATTAATTATTTAGCATTTTACACACACAGCTTCTCAATAAAGGTCTTATAAAATGGTTGTTCTTTCAAATCAAGAAGAGGATTTATTTTTTGTTTGAAATGCATGAAGAAACTGATCAGTTAATTTGATCTTTCCATCTAACTATGCAGTAGCTTTCTTTTAATTATTGGAACTTTTACATAATTAATTTTGTAGGATACCGAAAGTAACTACCCATTTGTACTATAAAGTATGTGTTTCTTGTATATTTTAAGTAATTTTTTTTGCACTACCTTATTTGATTATATGTACTAATGTCTGTTGAAATCATAGATATATTTGCCCTCTTACAAAGCTGAATTTTTGTCTCTTTCAAAATTCTTAGACAAAGTGATTTTAGAATACAAAGCTGTAAATAAAAATGCTTTTTTTACTGATGTACATAATTTCATATGACTGAAGCACTCTGGAACATTGTTGCCACACTTAAAAGTCATGAGACTTTATCAGTCTCTCTAAACACTGAAGTAAGCAGAGCCCAAACCACAAACTATCACAGATTTGATTCTGACAGCTCAGAACAATTAATAAAATTCCTTGTGAAGACACATTTCATTATATCACCTCTGCTTGGGTTGGTAAGTGACATGTCTGAAGCTTCTATTAAATCTAGATGATCTACACACTTGAAGCAATATAACTTAATAAGGATAATTTTTACCACAGATTCTTGTCTTCCTGAAAAAACTTTCAAAATAAAAATCGTTCTTATCTCACTGTCAAATTCCGCATTACAAGAAAGGTTATTCACAGGCATCAGGGTGAAGCATACTAGTTCTCCCAAGTCATGGGCTGAAAACAAGTTTCAAATTTACTGATATGATCCCTCTTCTACTCCTCCTCCTAGTCCCTCTATTCCATAGGAAAAAAGAGACAGAAAGGTGGGGAAAGAAATGGCTATTGTTATAAGAGAAATAAGCAGATTTTTAACTGAATATTACCACTGGAGTACTAAAAACTACAAGCACATAAAACAGCATTTATCTTACCTTTTAGCAGACTGACCCTGAACCCATATATTACACAAGATACATATCATGCAACATATACTAATTACATCAAAAAATGACACTATCATTTTGTTCATATTCCACAAGACTACCACTGAGGGTGTAGCGGTTTTAAACTTATTTCTAAATGTAAAGTAAATTTAGCTTTGAAAAATATTCTAGATCTTAAGTCACTGTTGACTATAAATCATTATATGGCCTTCAAGGAGAAAAAAAAACCACCAAACTAAAACACAAACAAATCCACATTAGAAAACACAAATGACCACAACTGTTTGGAGGTTAAAGGCATACATTGCATATACATATTTTTCCGGTCTGAACATAGAAACTTAATTCATTGTTGGAAACATGAAATTAATTTTTAGATTTTTTTACAATTCCATTTCCGTTTGAGAACAGAAGTCATGGGGGAAAATCTATGAAGTTGAATAAAGCAGTATTCTTTCAGTAGTTACAGACAGACAAAAACTATTCCGTCTTCCCACTGCAGATCACTATAGCAAATTTGTCCACTGGAAGGAGAACCAGAGATGTCTCTTGTTGCTCTGTTTCACACTCTTCTAGCAACTCATTTTGACCTTGGTGGAAACTTGTTTACAAATCAGAGCTGTGTAACTTCCAAGGACATAAATGGGTGGGGGGGAGGGAACAAAAGCAAAAACAAACAAAAAACCCAAAAGAACCAACCAAACAAACACTGCTCACAGGATGTTCATATTCTCAGATTTCACTAGTGTGTTGTGGCAAATAGCCTATAATCAGCACGAAAGGTAGGACACCTAATTCCTACATTTTTTCAAAGTTGTCTTCCATGGTATTAGAATTTTGATAATTAAAATGTAGGAACCTTGAAGCCATCTTTTGTATTTTCCTTTTTTTTTTTTTTTTTTTAATTACGATTCCCTAATTTTCATTCTCTCACTCTCTGCCAAGTCCAGATTGTTTTCTTCTAGCTCTGTGCACTTTGATTTCTCTAATCTATAGCGGTGGCTTATATTTTATTCTATTTGCATCTCCACATCAGGGAACCTTTCAGGATGGTTTGTTTATTTTGTGGGTTTTTAATCAGCTCAGAGTTAGTCATGTAGAACCAGTACCTTCTAAATAATCAAACTCATCTTGAATATTCTTCTGAACGGTCTTTTTCAATTGTACATGGAGAGAAAACAGTCTGAACATGTAAAATGAAATCTGAATAAGCCATACTTACTTAGAGAAGGTCCATGGAGAATTGCACAGTTGGGACAATGGTATAGATCAATGTCAACAGCATGGTGCTCCTCTACCCCAACGCAGCTGGAATAATATTTTTTAAATGTTAATGAGAATACATATAAGGTTTATTTTTCAAGTTAAAAATAATTAAATCTTAGGGTTTTATCAAAACATGCTTACTCCACAAAATTATAATGAGATACCAAATTATCTCAACTACTGGGTTGCCACATAAATTTCGAGTAATAATTTCTTTACCACTGAACAGAGAATGCCATTAAAAAAAAAATCATAAAAAGGAAACAAGAATCAAATTTCTATAAAAGTGAGCAAATCCACAATATATACACACCATTACCTCTCAGCTCCCCAGATACCTTTGATCCTAATTACAGGAAACAGTTTATGCAATTTTCGTTATAGACAGTGAGTTTAAAAAAAATCTGAAGTTCATGTGCTGTCAATTTGTAGAAGATATAATGCAATTTTTTCTTTTTTTTTTTCTGCAGAAAGCACATAACTGACTCCTACACCCAAGACAAATTAATGAAGAATACTTTGGTGTTCTTCCTGAAATCGTTACACTAGTACTAGCTTCCTAAGTTACACAAGTGACCACACAAATAACTTTGTAGAAGTGTTTTTGGTTTAAAATAGCAACAAGTATTTTAAAGAGCACTTGACAGATGTAGTGTTTTCCCAGCGCACATTTTTCCCCGATAAAAGTTAAAGTGGGATTAAGATTGAAATCTTTATAATACTCCTGACAAAGTATCTACACCGCTGATATCTAAATAACAGAATTTTAAAGACAAAATTAAGTACATTTTCTTAGAAGCTGAAACACTAGAGGTTAATTGAAGAAAACATGCTTTTGCACAAAGTTCTCAAGAAAAAAAATGCAATCCCTGCTTGCTGGTCAAATCTGAATCCTGGCAGAGTTCTTCATTCTCTGAAAAGTTTATGGACACTTACAAAATTGCTGACTTTACAGTCAATAAGAAGCAAGACTACAACACTGAACATTTGCACCAAAATTAGATATGTTTACTCAGTGCACTCTAGTAACATAAGAACTTGAACGGTACTCCAGTCACGTAACCCATTTCATATCAGAAGTGTAATGACTGCTTAAGCACTGAGGCTTTGAAATGATCCAGCTCCACAAAGTCTTTTCCCTAGCAGCCTAGTGCCAAACTGCTGACACGCTCCAGCAAGTGTCAGTACATGCTGCCAAAACAATACTCGAAGCAGTCTAGCACTGAAAGCACAATGAGCAAATCCAATCTGAAACTGAAGAGCATCTCCCATGCAACTCTCAATGAGAAGTACATCACTGAATACTCTGTAAACAGATTCAGCTAGTTCTACTTCTCCATGCAGTACATACCACATGAAATTTAGAAATTACATAGCTTTTTTATATGCACACTATTTTAAAATCTAAATACAAAACTCAGCTGCCATAGTTCATCGCAATTCTTGCAATATTTAGCATCTGCTTTAAGACCACAACTACAGGAATTGTTATTACTTGAAAATCCAGCTGACACATAAACAAAAAGGAAGGCAGAAGCAGTCTTTAAAAATGCATGTCCCATTTCCTTCTGCTTGTGTTCTCTCTCTTTTTATAGAATAGCTGAGTGACTCATAATCCTATGTATTATAGGAAAATTGTTTTAAAATGTACATTCTAAAAGCCCCAAATGAGAAGGCTGGTTTTATACATCCTTAGGAATCTCATTATTTTAGCTAAACTTCTAATTTTTCAACAGCTAAAGATATTTATGTTCCACTGTATCTTGATCAAGTTTGCATTTCATCCTTTTTCTTTCTGTTTATCTGATACATTCATCATCACCCCAATCAGGTTATCTTTCTAACAGTAAGAACTTGGCATAAAAATATAGTAATACCTTCAAGCTTTGACAACTGTTTGTCATGTTCTATTTAAGAATGTTAATTTTATCATCTCTTATAAAATGCTACAGGTAACAGAATTTCTGCTTTATTTTGAGGCTTAGCACTAACCACTTTTCTGACTTGATTAACTCCATAACCTTTCAGGAAGGCACATGGGATTTTGTGTACAGAGACTGGAATGGTATTAAAATAGCTGGAATATCCATTCAATAAGGAATGCAAACATTTTCAGTCTACTATTTATGCTGTAAACTCAGAACTAACTGGAAAGGCGAAACACTGACTGGGCATCATGGAAGTGAATCTCATAGCAGTTGTCTGACTGAAGCAAATAGAAAACGAGGTGACAGCACCTGCACTGCCAAGGAACAAGCATTGCCAAGGATGCCACAGTGCCCATCAATCACACACAGCAAGTCACTTTCCTGAGTCCCTTTCTCCAACACACATAGATGACTCTGACATTAATCACTCTGGCTACTAGCAAGCAATCAATTACTGTGGTAAGTGCAACTTCAGACCTCAAGCATCAAAGCAAGGTCACCAAGAGGTAGCAGAGAGCCTGGAAAGCATTAACATACTCAAACACAGCAACACTCCCAATCCACTGATGTTTTTCTGAATGAAATATTATTACCCTTCACCTTGCAATCAACCCAATCCATTTGGGTTGCAATGCCTTTAGTATATATTACCTAGTTTTTAAATTGCTCATCTCCTGCAGGGAGGAGGTAGACTAATCCTCAGGAACAGTGAAATATTTATAGTATTACAAAATAGAATACAATAATACTAATTAAAAAACTAGCTGTATGAGACTAGGCAAAAATACATCCCTAATTCTGTTCATGAAGGTGGAAGGGCTAAACAGGTCCAATATTAGTTGAAATGTTCTGTAAGGAGTAGTAAGGTAGAAAAATTTAGTTAAAAATAGATTCCATGACATCAGTCTGAGTGGTCAGACACTCATAACTTCCCCAAGGTGTCTACTATCAAGGCAGAGCCAGCAAGAGGTAGCAGAAGAATCAGGGAACTTACTAAGTTTTTTCACACACAAGAACGTGCCCGTACCTGGCAACTGAAGGAATCTCTTGCTACTAGAAGTTGGAGGAACCCATTCTCCACCCTTAAATCTCACTGGAAGATGAATATTTTTTATTTAGCCTAAACTTTCCATTTGATTATTATATTTGTAGCAATGTAAAAGCAGCAAGTGTAAATCAAAAACAACCAGAAGAGGATGATCTAACATCTCTGAGAGGTACCAATGGACCTCTGCTTTTCTGTAAAGGGCAAGTAAGGCTTCTTTCACAGGCGGAAAAAAGTCCTGCAAAAGCTGGTCTCTACTGCAGTATTGTTATTAATTTAGAATTTAAGAGATGAGTACAGATAATTCAGCATGACAGATTCAACAACTATTTCACAATTATGCTAGAATGTCTTGTACAAAGAATTTGCAAAAGTCCAAAACATTTAAAGGAAGTATTACGCCTTAAGATAAAACTGCATGGTTGTACACTGTGAGCCACCCAAGGCTCCTGGCACATTTCTCCTACAGCAGCACAACACAAACAAGTATTGGATCCGTGTCAGTCACCACACAGGCTGCTGCACCTTCCAAATCTAATACCTGCTTGCTTTCAATCCAATCTGGCTTTTCTCTTGCCTGCTTCTGATGTTATCAAGTACGACCACAACATTTTAGAGATTGCTTAACTGCCTCTGTTGGTAAGACAAAGAATCCTGGTTTAAGAAAAAAATTCAAAGTGCTTGATTCAAGGTCTTATTTGCAGCGTCCTTTAAGAGATACGACTACTTGAAAAACTAATTATTTTCTTATTAAATTATTATAATTATCATCATTGTCTTCTTAAGATAAGTACCATATGTACTCTACCCTCACATAAAATTCCAAGTATAAAAGGGAATGATTACACAAGTAGCACTACAAAGTAAAAAAATGAGTGGTCCGAATGCCCATTTTCTCAGTTTAATTGGCAAGATATTCCAATTAGGAAATTTCCAAGATTCCCTGTACACAAGGCATACTGAAAATATAAATCTTGAAAACTGAGAGATGTAAGCAATTCTCAGTGATCTAATAAAAGGACTGAGAAAAAGGATGAATCACCATCAACAGCAAAGAGTTAATTTGTCGAGATGTTGGGCTGTACATGGGGCACAATCCTCTTGGATTCCATCTTCTGTTCCTTTCCCCTATTGCTTCAATTCTATAAGGTCCTTTTTCACCTCTTTGAGTAGCATGTACAAACCAATCTAACAGGTTCATCTTTCTGGATGCACTTGTACATTTTAAGAAGTCTCCCACAACAGCTTCCACTTCTCTGCACACCAGCATGATGCATTGGATCTATAAGCTTCACAGGACAGGCCATCACAGGCATGTTTGCCCACTTCAACAGATATTGTTGGATAGATATTGGTTTACAACTAGGCATTGATTTACAGCTCAAAATTCAGCCAAAGTGGGTTTTTAAAGTCTCTTATTTCTTATTGGGACACACTAAGTTCAAGCCCCAAGACCTCTTGGTTTTCCACAGTCTGATCTCAACAGTCTGACTTTTTTTGCTCTCATTGTGCAGCAAAAATGCACATTAGTGGCTCTTGCTAGTACATTTGATTAGGTGCAGAACCTTGCACCTTTTCCAAGCTATAAAATTACTTAACATTACATTTTCCAAGATCCCCTTATCTTCTCCCTGAATAAACACTATGGAGAATCTTTTTCTTTCTGTACTATCCTGTTTCTGAACAAAAGCTCAGCACATCCTCTTCATGTCCACCCTTGCATCAGCACCCACAACCTCTCCTTGCTATGCCTCAGCGAGCACTGCAGGTTTTATCCGTAAAAGGAGAAAAAAAGCACAGGTCTTGACATCCAACAGGAAAAAAAAAGAAATCAACAAAAATCCTGGAACAGTGGAAAAATACTAGAGGTATCAGAGCATGTTCCCTCTTACCAGGAATGCGGGGCTATAGACAATTACTTAGGAGCATGGCATGTTTCCTATCATCTGACAGAGCAGATTCCCAAAATTGTTTTTCAATTTCCAGTAATCCACAGAACAGCCAAGAAGATATACAGATATTGAATCTCTACTGTATCTTAACAGCAATGAGGAAAGGAACAAGTCACTTCTAGAAGTAGCAAAGATTCATTAGTAACAGG